TGTCCTCTTCTCACCGCTTGCACATTGCTTCGAGGTGTTTTAATGTACTGGCCTCTGCTCCTGGGACTCAGCACCTCAGAGGGACACCAAGCATTAGATCCTGATGAGCAGTGATTCTGGCTGCAGCAGCAAGGTTTAACGTTGCTCTACTTGTATCTTGCCCAGCAGCTTAAGCCTTTATATGTTATTAATAGGTTAATATTCGAAAGGAATTTATCCCTGGATCAGCTGTATTTCCAGTGAAATGCATCCTAGCCCAGAAATCTTTTACAGCTGGACAATAAATTTATTATCCCTTTTCATCTCTAACATATTCTGTCCCTGCTGAGTTGTTTCTTTAATTCCCAGAGTGGTTGAGTGTGAATCTACCATGAGTTACTGAGTCTGCCCCAGTCCCTGCACTGCAGTGCTCACCCACAGAAAATATACAGCTCCTGGTAAGATGGTGGGAAATTTCTTCCTTTTTATCAGTTGGATTATAAACCTGCTGTGGAAAGAATGTAAGCTGGTCAAAAGAGTGTGGTATAGTGAAAACTGATGGGTTTATGGTTGAGGAGGAGGCAGAATCCAGAGTGTTCTGGATGACACAACCTCCCTGTTCCCTCCTCTTGGCAGGAGGAAGAGGATTCCTCATCCCTAATCAAAACCACACTCATCTCCCTCTGACCAACACTTGCTGCGAGTGGCTACAAGCCCAGGCAGGGATCCAGAGCAGCAGAAAGCATGGATCCCTTCCCAGTTATCCATACAGCACTGCTGCCTGTTATGTGCAAGAGGAGATCCTCCAGCAGCTGGGAGGTGGAGGTGTACGCGCAGGTCTCAACCAGGAGCAGCGTATCTGACGCTGTCAGCTGAAGATAAGAGTCACGAGCTTCTCAGCCCACGGGCAGGACTCAGCTGTGCTCTGGCAAGTCTTTTTGGGTGCAAAGATGCCCCGGCTAGTGCAACTGCCCAAAGCAGGGGAGTTCTGCTTTGCTTTAATGGGTCCCAGTTCATTCCAGTATAACAGCAGTTCGGCAAAATGCTTGCAGACAGACCAGCAGTGGCACAGGTTCCGTGTGCGTAACCGCTGAGACGTGCTGCACACCCCCTCCCAAACCACGGAGGAGCAGGGCATCGAGGGGCCAAGCGAACAGTGACCGCTGCCAGCTTGCGCATGGCTCTCTGCCCGCTCTGGGGCCGATTTCCAGATTTGGGGCATTGCTACCAGCAGCCGAGGGCAAGAGCCGTCAGTGTCCTGCACCCCTGCAGGCTGCTGGGGCGAGCATGTCCCCAGACACAGCTGCGAGGGCATCTCAGTTCTCCTTCTACGTCCATCCCGGCTTCTCCACCTTCCTCTTCTAGCCTAGGAGCTGTTTACAATACAGTCTCCATAACATTTGGTTTCAACTTTTGGTTCGACGTCGCACAAAGACCATTTTCAGTATTTTTCCTGAGTTAGCAGATGTTCTGAATTTGGCGTGAGTGGAAATGTGTCGCTCCTTGTTGAAGACATTTCACGTGACTGATGATTAATGCTGCTATCTGAATAATTAGCTCATTCTGTCAGCTTTTCTTCTGGCTTTGCAAGAAAACACGCATGAAAAATAAAGACAATATCCTCTTTCTGTATTACTGTATACATGGAATCACATTTCTTCTAAAAAGAAGAAAGCAAAATTATTTGAGAAAACAAATAACTGAGAAGTTTCCACAGTGCTTGTGCACAGATGTTGTCTCCAACATTTATCCAGGACCACAGCCCCACTAAAACCCGCTCTGCACCATTAGGGACCTGGTGCTGGAGGAAAACCCTCCTTGTGGAGAACGTGCATTGTTATCCACATTGAAAAATCTAAAGTTTCAGGCGTAGATTATCTGAGCTGATAACTATGCACCTAATATCAAATTTCTATAAGCAATTTCTAGACAAAAGCTTCCTTCAGCCAACTCAGTGTTAAGGTTTCTCGTGTACATGTGCAGGCACAAAAGGGGACATTGTTTTAAGGTCGGCTTGAATCATTATGTCTCTTTTTGTTGAAAATATTAATTTACCAATGGAAATTCAAATACTAATTATTTAAGCAAAAATTTTAAATATTTATATTTTCAGCCAGTATTCTGGTGTTCAGGATTTCTTGCTTATGAACTATCAACATTTTCCGTAGTTACCACAATATGTAGACAAAATATATTTCAGCAAAACCCAGTCTGGTATTCCAAGCAGGCAATGTAGCAACCCTGATGCCAATCTCTTTAGACAGCCTCCAAAACTGATCCAGGGAACTGCTCTCTGCAGAAATCTGACCTCCGCAGAACAAAAATCGCTTTGGGCTGTGGCAAATCACAGCCAGGTGAGACAGATGCACACGTACGTACGGTGGCACGGGGCCAAGGCAGCTTCGACAGAGCAAAGTCGTGCCCCTGCAGTCCAAGAGGAGTTTGCTGACGGAGGCGGTGAGCACGAGGATATCCGCGCTCCGGTTATGGAGCAGAAGGACATCGCGCTGTTGAGTGGCTGGTGCTATTCAGGCATAAGATATTGGATTTTACTAACTGAAAGTACCACACAGGAGGCAAAATAGCCAGGCTGGGCTCAAAATCAGGTATTCACCACTCAGGAAAGAGAGCCCAGTCTTCAGTGTCTATCAGAAAGGCACGTTAGGAATTGCCAGAATAGGGTTTGAGATCAAAACAGAGAATATCTTTACGCTGCTGAGTGCCTGGTTTGTTCCTGTCACTTGTGGTTCTGGATGCCCCGTTCAAAGACTTCAAAAAATAAAAGACTGAAGAGGGTGAAAAGGAGCATCTTGCATGAAAGGGGAACTAAACAGGGCTGGGCTCCGGACTCTGGGAAAGCCAGGACTGGAGGAGAAGCAGGTACTAGAAAATTGTGAATACTGTGGAGAAGGAAGGGGGTAGCAAGAAATTGTTCATTGCTTGCCAAAATACAGAAACTGCGGGTTATCTCCTGAAAGGATAACACAGAAATCGGGGGGATCTCCTGAAAGGTAATACAGAAATCGGAGGGATCTTCTGAAAGGATAACGCAGAAATTGGGGGTAATCTCCTGAAAAGCTAATACAAAATTTGGGGGGATCTCCTGAAAGAGTAAGGCGGCGTGATTTCGGTGAAGCGCATGGAGATGTTTTCCAGCCGAGTAAGGCTCCGTGAGTTCCCCTCTTTGTCTCTGGACTCACATCTTTAATTTCAGCGCTCACAGCACGCTTCCCCCCAGCCCCCCGCTTTCTCCTCTCCCCGCAG